ACAGACTCTCTGATTTCTTAACATTTTGCTGTACAAGAAGCCATAGGTTTAACCCTAAATGACTACCTCGCGATATATTTAACCTTTCGAGTGTTCAGACCACTCCCGGGGCGTCAGATCTCGTCAGCTAGGCGTGCCACACACATAAAAGAGAACTCCGCGGATGTTTTACGGAGAAAAACTGTTGGCAATGCTCACAGACATCCACCTTAGAGATATAGCCTCACAGAAACAGCTGCCAAATCCATATGGGGGCATGAGGGTGTGTGCGAGGAAGCCATACTGAAGGCGGAAAGCCAAATGTGGTCATATAGCAAGTGACTAATTCTACCTCGGTGGGTGCCTGGGTGTCGGGTCGGCCTTAGTGAGTCACGGAAGCTAAGAAAGGAGATGAATCATCCGTCACCCTCACTTAAGCACTTGCGAGGGAATTCATCGTATACTCACAAACCTCTTAATGCGTTAAACGGAACCTTCTATAGTTTACAAACACAATTTCTTATATTAACTTAGTATAGGCACATCGAGAAACACATTACCTCTGACATATACCTGGCTCACTGACATTTACCCTACAGTGACAACTCTGACACACCTGAATGTCATTAACTATTTAATAAATTTACGGTCATAACATATGGCCACAACAATTCAGGTAGGAATCCTCTGTAGCTGTAATTCATGAATGTTCTTCAAACTGTCGCCTCAATCTAGCCTGTCTCTTTAAACTTCGAACGCTCGGGCAGACGGTGCCAGCTGCCGCGGCACCTTTTGTAAACAAAGCCGTGCACGTCTTCACCATCTTTTCTACTCTTTTCGTTCCTCTAGTCTTTGCACTTTTCTTTGTATGACGATGATCAGCACCTTTCCACCGTCTATGCATCGTTGGGTTACTGTTAAAATGTCTTATGATTGTTATACACTTTTCCTTGCTCAAACAATATTCTTATATTTACTTTATCCTTGTCAAATGTTTTCAGTAATAATTACTTCTTGCAATATATACAGTCATTATCATGCGTATTTCAGGCAGTTTTGTCAAGCACATTTTCCTTCAGGAAACTGACAACGAAAATTTTCAATCTTCCTCGCGTTCGTATTCACTGAAGGTAAACACCGTCGCCATTCAAGAGAGTCACAGTGTTGTAATGTTGAAGTTCACCACACTAATGTCGAGACGAAACTAAAACTTCAGTCGTCTGTAGCAGCTCTAATAGCTGTACAGAGAATGGCCAGTCCACCCACGTCACAGTTGCCACGCATGGCATCCGTCCAATGAGAGCGTAGTACTGGCGAGGGAGAGCCCTGATTGGCGCTTACCTTATGCTGAGCACGAATCGCTTTAGAGTGCCGCGTCTCGACGATGACGTAATATTCTTACTCCGCCCACCATCCACACCTACCGTAACCCGAATGAATCATGCGTTTGTAAAGTGAAATGACTCATTGCCAGTCATTGGAAATCTTTGTCTTTAGTGTTTAATTTTGTGAGTACTGTGCTATATATAAATCATTGCGTCGGAGGAAATCTCTGAGTACCAATCTAATGACAAACCCCTTCATGCATCCTTTAGTGCCAGATGTGGTGTATGTATTGCTTACAGGTGGGATTGATTTTCTCCAGGTGTTTATAGAGAGGAGGAAGACTCTATCCGACGCACCAGCAGGAGAGATGAGCGAGAGTCAAGAAAATATAGATGGGTATCTCCAAGTCCAGCCAGATGGTTCTCCCGAAGTCCAGCACGACCGGGAGACGGCAAGCAGACGACCGAAGAAGAGTTAGAGAGGAAGAAGAGAGAAAAGGCGCCATGGCTTTATGAAAAGCCAAAAGAAGATATAGGATTGGCTGCTCGGAAATTGAAGAAATCAACTGACAGAAAGTTGGAACCGAAAGGACCAGAGAAACTAACAATTCCTAAGGTCGAATTGAAAAAATCTCAGCCAAAGAAAATGTCTCCTGAGGAGATGAAACTTGAGAGAGTTGAACTGACACACGTTGAAAAGCACAAGAAAGATGACAGCGTGAAAGATACAGAGGACTGGAGTTCTGACTCAGAGTATGATCTCTATGAGTTTGATAGCGTTTCAGAGACTGAAGTTATTGACCGAGAAGAGTATGAAAGACAGAGAACAGACACCAAAAGAAAAGGAAAGGTACAATTAGAAAAGGAGAGATATCAGCGTAAAACAAGAGGTAAGAAGGGATTAAAGGACGGCAAAGAATCATCCTTTGGCAGACGACGGCTAAAACCTGATGAAGAGTCCACAGAACAGATTCAACTTGGGCGAAGAAAACATCTTCCAAAACCTGAGGAAGAAGAAGGTGAGAAGCCTCAGTTAAAACCGGTTCCCAAAAGGAAGCCAAGGGAGGAAGAAAAAGATACTCAGGATGATCAGGTTCCTTCATGGAGAGCGAGGAGGATTCCTCATAAGGATGGCGAAAAAGAGGAAGTAACATTGAAACCTTTCCAAAAGGAAAAAGAAGATAAGCCGGTTGAAGGAAAGGCTCTTGACACTTACACAGTATCCGATACCAAATATGATACTGACAAACGAATTTTAACAGATGAAGAAATTAAAGAGGACGAGGAATATCCCAAGAGGCCAGGCAAACGTCTTCCAAAAGAAAAGGTACAGCCAGAAAAGTTTGTGCTTCCTACAGTTCAGCTGAAGAAAACGCACAGAACAAAATTGGTTCCAGACGAAAATCAGCTGGAGAAGGTAGATCTGAAGCCTGTGGAAAAACAAAGCATGGCTGGACCTGATAAAGAGAAGCATGAGTCCACCGAAGACATAGAAAGGTATCGCCCCAGTGAAATCAAGGATGAACCTGTACAACTAGATAGATGGGGTAGACCTGTCAAACCAAGACCGAAACTAAAGGGAGAACAACACACAGAAACCACAACACCCATCATCAATGATTTAGAAAAAACGAAAGATGAAATTCAACCAAAGGCAAGAGGCGACAGAAAAACAACAGAGGAACAAGATGAGGAGCCAGAAGTGCCTTCTTGGCGAAGAAAGAGGATTGTGCCAAAAGAGCAGGAGAAGGAGGAGGTAGTTCTGAAACCATTTGAGAAGCAGAAACCTGAGAAAAAGGAGCAACATCGTCAGCCATATGAACCCATGTCATCAGACTTTACTCAGCCTGAAAAATCCAGCACTGAGCCACATGAAGCAGACACTACTGACAAAGAACCCCTTAAAGATAAGAGGCCTATGCCAAGTCAAGGAGAAACAAGTGCATTCCCCACAGATGAGGAGAAGCCGACGCAACGAAAACCAGGTAGAAGGATTCCATTTGAAAAACCAAAGGAGGAATTCTCAATACCTCAAGTAACACTCAGAAAGACTGTTCCCAAAAAATTTGTACCCGAAGAAGTAAAGCTGGAATCAGTCGATCTTGATCATGTTGAAAAGAAACAGAAACCTAAAGCTGCAAGAGAAAGACGAGAATGGAGTCCATTGCCCGACCAAGAACCTTATGCTCCTGAAGAAATACCAGATGGAATTCCTGTTGATCTTGATAAGTATGAGAAGGATGATTATCCAACAAAGACAGACGAAGGCAGAGAGCAAGAGAAAGACAGATATGAAAGGAAACCAAAGGATAAATTTGAGACTGAGGAGCAAAAGAAATTGAAGCTTGGAAAGGGCAAGAAAAAGCCAGAGGAGGAAGAGGAGCTCATTAAAATGAAACCTGGAAAACGTCTACCAAAGCCCCCAGAGGAAGAAACGGAAATGCCTCAATTGAAACCAATACCGAAGAAGAAGATGGAACCAGAGGAAAAGGAGAAAACATCTCTGAAACCTGGAAAGAGACCCTCCAAAGAACTTCCAGAACGGGAGCCAGTAGAGCTTGAACCTTTTGAAAGAACCCAAACAGAAATACCAGACAAGGAAGACGTGAAACTGGGAAAGCCGCACAAGTTCCCACCATATCAGAAAGACTCGGCCCCAACAAAACCTGAGGCTAAACCATCTGATGACAAAATTGCTGAGCCAAAAGAAGAAGTAAAATCTAGGAAAGATAAAGATAAACCCGAAAAGAAGGACGAACCTGCAGATGTCCCACCATGGAGAGTAAAAAGAGTTCCTCCAAAAGAAGAAGAAAAAGAGGAAGTTGTATTAAAACCTTTCAAAAAGGACAAACCAAAAGAGCCAAAGCCATCTCCAAAATATACACCCGGTAAACCTTATCAACCTGAAATTCCTGAACCTGATGAAACTCCTCTTGAACCTTATGGTAAGCCAGAAAAAGAGAAGATACCTGAGGGATTCCAACAGCCCCAGGATAAACAAGAAAAAGAAGTACATTTGCCTGATAAAGAGAAACCAGCAGAACCTGGCAAAGTACAGCTAAAGCCGGCAAGACGTCAGCAGAGAGAAGCACCGCCGAAAGAAGAATTTGTGATTCCTAAAATTCCCCTTCGAAAGACTAAACAGAATGTGTTTGCACCAGAGGAAGTGAAGCTCGAAGATGTCCAGCTTGATCATGTTGAAACACCCGAAGTGATTGAACCTGAGAGAGAGAAGCGCCAATGGAGTCCTTTGCCGGAGTATGACACTTATGAACCCGAGGAAATTCCTGATAAAGAACCTGTTGAGCTGGAAGAGTATGAGAAGTATGTATCTCCAGAGAAAAAGAAGGACGGAAAGGAGCCAGGAAAGGATAAATACAAGCGCATTCCAAAGGATAAACCCGAGCCTGAAGAGGAGAGGAAATTAAAACTTGGAAAAGGTCGTCCAAAGCCAGAGGAAGAAGAAGAAGACAAAATTAAGTTTAAGCCTGCCAGACGCTTGCCGAAAGAGGAGGAAGAGACTGAGAAACCTCAGTTGAAACCCATTCCCAAAAAGAAACCAGAACCCGAAGAGAAGGAGAAGGCTCCTCTTAAACCCGGAAAGAGACCTCCTAAAGATCTTCCCGAACGTGAACCAGTGGAACTGGAACCGTTCGAGCGAACCAAGCCAGAAATTCCCGAGAAGGAAAAAGTGAAACTGGAGGAACCATCGAAGCCTGAGCCCAAGCCAAAAGAACGTGTTCCATCTGAGCCAGAGGCTCCTAAACCAAAGGAAGAGGAGAAACCATCAGAGGAAGAGCCAAAGGCCAAGAAAGAGCGAACGAAACCTGAAAAGAAAGAGGAGGAACCTGAAGTTCCTTCCTGGAGAGGAAAGAGACTTCCTCCTCCAAAGGACGACAAGGAAGAGGTGGTTCTGAAGCCCTTCAAAAAGGAGAAGCCCACAGAACCGAAGCCTACTCCAAAACGGAAACCAGGAAAACCATACGAGCCTGAGATTCCAGAACCTGAGAGACCACCCTTGGAACCTTATGAGAAACCAGAAAGGGAGAAGGAACCGGAGGAAAAGCCAGTCCCTACAAAGCCAGCGGAGGCACCTCAACCAGAAGAGGAACCAGCCAGAAAGCCAAAGAAAGAAAAGACAAAGCCAGAGAAAGAGGAAGAACCTGAAGCACCTTCATGGAGAAGAAAGAGAATTCCTCCCAAAGAGGAAGAAAAAGAAGAGATAGTTTTAAAACCTTTCAAGAAGGATAAACCAGAAGAACCAAAACCAAGTCCCAAACCCAAACTTGGTAAACCATATGAGCCCGAAATTCCAGAGCCAGAAAAGCCACCCACTGAGCCTATTACAAAGCTTAAAAAGCAGAAAGTGCCAAAAGATGTCTCTAAACCAGAAGAAGAGAGACCTGAGGATATTGTAGAAGAATATGATAGAATCTCTGAAATGCCAGAGAAAGATCTGAAAGAAGTTTTTGAACCTGAAAAAGGAAATTTGAAGCCAAAACGGAAACCACTAAAACTCAGCCAGGCACCAGAGGAATTTACCATTCCGAAAGTTCAGCTAAAGAAAACGACACAAAATGTTTTTGTTCCAGAAGAGGTAAAGCTTGAGTCAGTTGATCTTGATCATGTGGAAACACCAGAGATTATTGAACCTGAGAGAGAGAAGCGCCAATGGAGTCCTTTGCCGGAGTACGAAACATATGAACCTGAGGAAATTCCTGATAAAGAACCGGTCGAGTTGGAGAAATATGAAAAGTACATCCCACCCGAGAAAGAAAGGGAAGAAAAGGAACCAGAGAAGGGCAAATATGAGCGCAAACCAAAGGGCAAACCTGAGCCTGAAGAGGAGAGGAAATTGAAACTTGGAAAAGGTCGTCCAAAGCCAGAGGAAGAAGAAGACAAAATTAAGTTTAAGCCTGCCAGACGCTTGCCGAAAGAGGAGGAAGAGACTGAGAAACCTCAGTTGAAACCCATTCCCAAAAAGAAACCAGAACCCGAAGAGAAGGAGAAGGCTCCTCTTAAACCCGGAAAGAGACCTCCTAAAGATCTTCCCGAACGTGAACCAGTGGAACTGGAACCGTTCGAGCGAACCAAGCCAGAAATTCCTGAGAAGGAAAAAGTGAAACTGGAGGAACCATCGAAGCCTGAGCCCAAACCAAAAGAACGTGTTCCATCTGAGCCAGAGGCTCCTAAACCAAAGGAAGAGGAGAAACCATCAGAGGAAGAGCCAAAGGCCAAGAAAGAGCGAACGAAACCTGAAAAGAAAGAGGAGGAACCTGAAGTTCCTTCCTGGAGAGGAAAGAGACTTCCTCCAAAGGACGACAAGGAAGAGGTGGTTCTGAAGCCCTTCAAAAAGGAGAAGCCCACAGAACCGAAGCCTACTCCAAAACGGAAACCAGGAAAACCATACGAGCCTGAGATTCCAGAACCTGAGAGACCACCCTTGGAACCTTATGAGAAACCAGAAAGGGAGAAGGAACCGGAGGAAAAGCCAGTCCCTACAAAGCCAGCGGAGGCACCTCAACCAGAAGAGGAACCAGCCAGAAAACCAAAGAAAGAAAAGACAAAGCCAGAGAAAGAGGAAGAACCTGAAGCACCTTCATGGAGAAGAAAGAGAATTCCTCCCAAAGAGGAAGAAAAAGAAGAGATAGTTTTAAAACCTTTCAAGAAGGATAAACCAGAAGAACCAAAACCAAGTCCCAAACCCAAACTTGGTAAACCATATGAGCCCGAAGTTCCAGAGCCAGAAAAGCCACCCACTGAGCCTATTACAAAGCTTAAAAAGCAGAAAGTGCCAAAAGATGTCTCTAAACCAGAAGAGAGACCTGAGAAAGTGGTGGAAGAACCAGAGGAAGGGGCCAAAACACCTCAGAAAGAGCCAGAGGAAGAAGTATCAGAACCAGAGAAGCCAAAATTAAAACCAAAGAAGCAATTAAAGAAATTGTATGAGCCTCCTGAAGAGTTTTCTATTCCGAAAGTCCAGCTGAAGAAAACGACACAAAATGTTTTTGTTCCAGAAGAGGTAAAGCTTGAGTCAGTTGATCTTGATCATGTGGAAACACCAGAGATTATTGAACCTGAGAGAGAGAAGCGCCAATGGAGTCCTTTGCCGGAGTACGAAACATATGAACCTGAGGAAATTCCTGATAAAGAACCGGTCGAGTTGGAGAAATATGAAAAGTACATCCCACCCGAG